GTCAGATGTTGCGGCGTAGGGATCCTGGTTTACTGTTCGCCGGTGATTGGTAATGCGCATTGAGTCGGCATAGTTGATCCAGTCGCGAAAAGGAAGGTCTTTCATCCACCAGTAATTGGATCCGGTATGGTTGACCACACCGTCAAACACCAGTTTAAGACCTTTTTGCCGCGCTTTGTCAGCCAGCTCGCGGTATTCATCCAGCGTACCATACCTCGGATCTACTTTGTAATAGTCAGTAATGGCATAGCCATGATAAGAAGCATTTGCCATATCATTTTCCAATAGTGGCATCGGCCAGATGGCGGTAAATCCCATGTCAGCGATGTAATCAAGGTGGTTGATCATGCCGCGTATATCGCCACCATGACGACCATAATCATTTTTGCGATTCAGTTTCGTTTCTCTCATCCCGTTTACAACATCGTTGGTGGTGTCGCCATTGGCAAACCTGTCAGGCGTGACCAGGTAAATGACATCTGAGGAACTAAAGCCTTTGACCTGTGATGCGTTTTTCTCCCTGGCTTTTAGTTCGTAAGGTTGGGTGGCTATGCTTTTGCCGTCCTTTGTAAACAAGATGGAAAGCTTGCCCGGTTTTGTCGTGGGTGCGATGATGAGGTCAATAAAAAGATAATTGGGGCTATCTCCTTTCTGAAATTGTTTTATCGTCACTCCCGGGTAACGGGTGGTGGGTTTGGTATCCCCGATGTTTTCACCGTGCACCATCAGTTGAAGGGTCGTTGTCTTCATCCCTACCCACCAGTTCATCGGTTCAATACGCAGATCCTGTGCAGTTACGGTGAACGAAATAAATAGTAAGACGATAGCAGCAAATCGCTTTTTACCAGGCATAATCGTAGTTGTTAAGTTCAGTGTTTAAAGATATTTTAAAAACTATAAAGCATGGCGGGAAAAAATAAAGGCACCGCTGTTAAGCGATACCTTTCCGGTACGGGACAACCTATGCTATATGTGAGAAAAACTCGTTAGTTAAAAAACTGCTGTGACAGTG